ATTGCCTTAATTCCAAAACCAGAAAAAGACATTGTCAAAAAATTAACAAATCAATATCTCTCAGGAATATGATCACAAAAATCTTCACCAAAATATTAGCAAATTTAATTCAACAATGTATAAAAAGAATTACACATAATGACCAAGTGGGTTCATCCATGAATTCAAGGCTGGTTCAACGTTTGAAAACCAGTTAATATAATCCATCACATCAACAGCTTAAAGAAGAAAAATCACAAGATCATATAAATAAATGCATTAAAAGCATTTCACGAAATTTAACACACATTAATAATAAAAACTCTCAGCTAATTAGGAAAAGAGGGGAACTTTCTCAACTTGATAACAAACATTGGCTGGGCGCAGTGGCTCAAGCCTGTAATCCCAGCACTTTGGGAGGCCGAGGCGGGTGGATCACGAGGTCAAGAGATCGAGACCATCCTGGTCAACATGGTGAAACCCCGTCTCTACTAAAACTACAAAAAATTAGCTGGGCATGGTGGCACGTGCCTGTAATCCCAGCTACTCAGGAGGCTGAGGCAGGAGAATTGCCTGAACCCAGGAGGCGGAGGTTGCGGTGAGCCGAGATCGCGCCATTGCACTCTAGCCTGGGTAACAAGAGTGAAACTCCGTCTCAAAAAAAAAAACATTTACAAAACACCTACAGCTAACATGATACCTAATGGTGGGTGAGAAACTCAAAGCTTTGTTGCTAAGATCAGTAACAAGGCACTGCTTTTTTTTTTTTTTTTTTTTTGAGTTGGATTTTCACTCATGTTACCCAGGCTGGAGTGCAATGGTGCGATCTCAGCTCACCGCAACCTCCGCCTCCTGGGTTCAGGCAATTCTCCTGCCTCAGCCTCCTGAGTAGCTGGGATTACAGGCACGCACCACCATGCCCAGCTAATGTTTTTGTATTTTTAGTAGAGACGGGGTTTCACCATGTTGACCAAGATGGTCTCGATCTCTTGACCTCGTGATCCACCCGCCTCGGCCTCCCAAAGTGCTGGGATTACAGGCTTGAGCCACCTCGCCCGGCAGTGCTTTTAAACATCATATTGGAAGTCCTAGCTAATGCAGTAAGACAAGAAAAGGAAACAAATGATATTCGGATTGGGAAGGAAGAAATAAAACTGTCTTAGTTTGAAAATGACAGGATCTTTATCCACATACACACACACAAAGAATCTAGACCACAGAGCTACACAGTTCACAAACGTTAACTCAAAGTAGATCGTAGACTACATGTAAAACACAAAACTATACAACTCTGAGATAACAGAAGAAAACGTAATTGAGCTTGAGTATAGCCATGACTTTTTAGATACACATGAAATACATAATCTGTGAAAGAAATAATTGATAACCTGGACTCTATTAAAATTAGAAACTTCTGCTCTGTGAAAGACAATGTCAAAAGAATGAGAAGATAAGCCATAGTCTGGGAGAAGATACTTGCAAAAGACACACTTGATAAAGGACTGTTATCCAAAACATGTAAATTACTCCTAAAACTTCACAGTAAGTCCAGGCATGGCGGCTCAGTACTGAAATCCCGGCAGTTTGGGTGGCTGAGGAGGGAGGATTGCTTGAGCCCAGAAGTTCAAGTCTACAGTGAGCCACGATGGCGCCGTTGTACTCCAGCCTGGGTGAGGGAGAGAAAACTTGTCCCAAAAAACAAAAAAACAAAACTCTTCAGTAAGAAAATTAACAGCCTGATTTTTTAAAAATGGGGAAAAGGCAAGTGTGGTGGTTTATACCTTTAATCCCAGCACTTTAGGAAGCTGATGTGGGAGGATTGCCTGGGGCCAGGAGTTTGAGATCAGCCTGGGCAACAAGCAAGACCCCATCTCTACAAAAAATAAAAAGATTAGCCAGGCATGGTAGTGCACACCTTTGGTCCCAGCTTTTTGGGAGGCTGAGAGGTGAGGATCACTTGAGCCCAGGAGTTCAAGGCTGCAACGAGCCACTGCACTCTGCCTGGGTGACAGAATGAGACCTTGTCTTAAAAAAAAAAAAAAAAAAGAGATCTGAACAGGCACCTCACCAAAGAATATATACAAACGAAAGTAAGCATATGAAAAAATGTTCAACATCATATGTTCAGCGAATTGCAAATTAAAACAATGAGATACTACTACGCACCTATTCAGATGCCAAAATCCAAGACGCTCCCACCACCAAATGCTGGTGAGGATGTGGAACAATAGGAACATTGATTCATTGCTGGTGGGTATACAGAATGGTGCAGCCAATCTGGAAGGCAGTTTGGCAGTTTCTTACGAAACTAAACACACCCTTAGCACATGATCCAGCAATCTTGCTCCTTGGTATTTATCCAAATGTTGTGAAAACTCATATCTGCACAAAAACCTGCGCATGGAAGTTTATAGCAACTTTATTCATCATTGTCAAAACTTGGCAGCAACCCAGATGTCCTTCATGAGGTGAATGGATAAACAAACAGTGACATACCCGGACAATGAAATAGGATTTACCACTAAAAATAAATGATCAAGCTAGGAAAAGACATGGAGGAAGCTTCAATGTGTATTACCAGGTGAGAGAAGCCAGCCCGAACAAGCTGGATACCATATGATTCCAATTCATTCTAGAAAAAGCAAAACTGTGGCGACAGTAAAAGGACCAGTTGTTGACAGGAGTTATAGGGGCCAGGTGGAGCACAGGATTTTTTTTTTTTTTTTTTTTTTTTGAGATGGAGTCTCGCTCTGTCACCCAGGCTGAAGTGCAGTGGTGCAATCTCAGCTCACTGCAACCTCTGCCTCCTGGGTTCAAGCAATTATTCTGCCTCAGCCTCCCAAGTAGCTGGAATCACAGGCGCCTGCCACCACACCCGGCTAATTTTTGTATTTTTAGTACAGATGTGGTTTCACTATGTTGGCTCGACTGGTCTTGAATTCTTGACTTCAAGTGATCCGCCTGCCTCGGCTTCCCAAAGTGCTGGGATTACAGGCATGAGCCACCGCGCCCGGCTGAGCACAGGATTTTTAGGGCAATGAAGCGACTCTGTACCATACCACAATCAAAACCCATAGAATGGGCCAGGTGCGGTGGCTCCAGAGTAAAGTGCTCTGTAATCTCAGCACTTTGGGAGGCTGAGGTGGGTGGATCACCTAGAGTTAGGAGTTCAAGACCAGCCTGGCCAACATGGTGAAACCCTCATCTCTACAAAAATACAAAAATTAGCTGGACACGGTGTCGGGTGCCTGTAGTCCCAGCTACTTGGGAGGCTGAGGCAGGAGAATCGCTTTAACCCAGGAGGCGGACAGAGGGGTTGCAGTGAGCTGAGATCCCGCCATTTCACTCCAGCCTGGGCTACAGGGCGAGACTCCGTCTCAAAAACAACAAGAACAACAACAAAAAACCCATAGACTGTAGAACACCAACAGGGAACCCCAGTGTGAACTGTGGACTTTTGCTGATGATGATGAGTCAGCTGTAACAAATGCACCACTGCAGGATGTCCATATTGCGGGGGAGGTTGTATGTGGGTGGGGATAGGAGTGCATGGGAACTCTGTACTTTCCACTCAATTTTGCTGCAAACCTAAAACTGCTCTAAAAAATAAAATCTATTAATTAAAAACAAGCTATGGAAAGATGAGTCCTGAGAGCCCAGTGAGGCTTCTGGCCCAGTCCCCACTGCCCCCAGACTCACCTCGGCAGCTCCTCCTTGTCCCTCTTTCCTGTCTCCTGCCTGCTTCTCCTTCTGGCCCTGGCCTATTCTCAACTGCTCACCCCTTCCTAATCCCACCCTCCAGGCCCTGGGCATTTCTCTCCTTGGCCCCTCCCAAAGCTGGGCAGGCTCTTGAAGATACACAATGCTGGGCTTTCACTTGAAGGGAAACTGAGCCCCGGCCTTGGGGCCTTGGCCTTGGCGAGGCCTCCCCTCCCCCTGCCCCCAGGCTTCCCTCTCCACATCCCTGTCCCTCCGTGCACTCTGAATCCCCTTCCTTCCTTTGCTGCCATCTCTCCTCCACCAGAAGCCAGTCTACACTGCCTGTACTCAGGCCTCCAAGGTCAAACCCTGGGTGGGAGGTGTGTGTATTGGTGTGTATGTTTTTTGTTTGTTTGTTTTGCTTTTGTTTTTTTGAGATGGAGTCATGCTCTATTGCCCATGCTGGAGTGCAGTGGTGCAATCTCAGCTCACTGCAACCTCTGCCTCCCAGGTTCAAGAGATTCTCCTGCCTCAGCCTACCAAGTAGCTGGGACTACAGGCACATGCCAACACGCCCAGCTAATTTTTGTATTTTTAGTAGAGTGGGGGGTTTCGCCGTATTGGCCACACTGGTCTCGAACTCCTGACCTCAAGTGATCTGCTGGCCTCTGCTTCCCAAAGTGTGGGATTACAGGAGTGAGCCACCGCACCTGGCCTTGTGTGCATGTTTGGTACATGTGACGGTCACAGGCACACGTGTATGGCATGTGCTGTTTCTACCGTGTGTGAGTGCTGTATGTGTGATGTGCTGGGCAGCTGGTGGTGTCTGTGTGCACACATCTGGGTGACACAGGGCTCTCTCCTGCTTTTGAGATACTTCTAGCCCCAGCCTGTGCCCCACTGGAGGACCAGTCCTTCGGCCTCATTTTCCTCCCCTTCAAGCTCCTGGACACCATCCCTTCCCCATGCCAGGCCTTCCCCATGAAGAGGGCAAGAAGAACCCCTGCAGACCCACTTTCCCACCTGCCCAGGCCCACACCCAGGAGGCCGTCTCTGCAGAGGATCCCAACACATCCCTGGCCTCAGGCCAAGAGGGAGCCTCATTCCACAGTCAAAGAAACGAAAGCCTCAGAGGACAACGAGGTCTCCTCAAGACCAGCCACAAGTCTTTCTGCTGGCCTAGAGGTCTGACTAGGAGGGAGTGAAGAGGAACTGACCCTTCAGGTGACAGGTGACAGATGGGTGGCTAGGAGAGGGGTGGTGCTGCCCTCTGGGGGCAGGTGGGGCTGGGGCAGCTAAAAAATGGGGCATCCCTAAAAAAAAACAGAGCAGGACACAGCAGCCCACAGCAGGTGGGCTCCCTGGCCCAGGGGCCTTTGCATAGAAGTCGGAGCCGATGACCAGCACTGGAGTCTTTATTGGTTCTGTTTAGTCATTTCTCTGGGATGTGTGGGGCCGACAGCTTAAAATGGATTTTCACCAATAGTGGATTCTCTTTCTCTTTTCCCGGCACTGAGCTGCAACACAAAAGACAGAGTGTCACTTGGGCTCCAGAGGGTGGGTGAGGGAGAGGGGTGAGCCCAGAGGCCCTCTGTGGAGGTCACTAGGGGTCAGGGGTCTTCTGCTGCTGCCTGCGTTCTGTGTCCATTTGCCACCAGAAAGCAAGGTGTCCCAGAGAGCCCTGAACCCTCGTTCTCCCCTTGAGAGACGTGTCCTGGACCCCAGGGTTGGGGCCAGCAGGCTCTCAGCAGGGCAGACCCCAGCCTGAGCATTTCCGACCTTGCTGAGGCCTGACCCCCAGGGTGGGAAGCTGCCTAATGCCAGCATGGTCCTTCCCTTTTGAACCCGGCCCCTGGGCTCACCCTCGTTGGTCCCCAGGCCTCCAGCCCTCGCCTTGGCTCTGTTCCTGAGTCCACCGGAACCTTGTTCCAACAGCCTTTGTGAGGTCATGGAGGTGGAGCCACACAGCCCACCTTGTCCTCATTCCACTCTCCCCAGGCCCTCATTCCACTGTCCCCACCCTACCTGGCTGTGAGGAGCCCCCCATGTCCCACCATAGCCCCTCTGGGGGAGCTGCAGGGCTGGCCTCACTCACTCTTCGTTGACTCCCTGCAGCGGAGGGGACGTGACTGGTGGCTGGAGAAGCTGCATTTCCCCTTCGATGGTGGCTTTCCTGATCCCTGGCTTGCTGAAGTCAAGGTAAGAGTGAGGAAATTTCTTGCTTTCCTGACTCCAAGATTTCTGTGGAGCTCTGGCTTCACATGGTTTTCCCGGCAGGGTCTCTGCGTGCTTTTCTGGCTCTCCATCCTTCGCAGCGGTCAGGACGCGTTCTGTGGAAGGCTCCGGAGCCTGCTGGGGTGGAGCTTTCATCCTGTGTTCCAAAGTGGGCAGGTCCATCCTGCTGGAGGAGGCCATGGCCAGGGAAGATGCAAAGGTGACTAGCTCTCTTAGGCCGATGGGTGGCGGGAGATCTGAGTGCAGGAGGGGGCTTGGTGGCGCCTGGGAGCTTGCGGCTGGAGGAGCTGAGCGGGCGTTGGGGGTCTGGAGCTGCTCCTCGGAGCACAGGGTGTTGGTGGTGACGGCCGCCCGGCCGGGGGCTCTGGTGAGCTGGCTTGTGCTGGTGTTGTTGAGCTGCGTGTGGATGGCCCGCTGCAGGCTGTGCTCTGAGGCCTGGATGAGCTTGTTTGCCCAGAAGAGGTGGTTGGAGGTCTGTGCGCTGATGGAGCAGTGGTTGGCAGACACCTGTTTCTCCTCCGTGAAACTATGGTGGCTTGAATTCAGACCCCGCTGTCTGAAGGTCTGCGGCACGGGCAGCCCTATGTTGGAGTGGACGGATTCTATCCTGCACAATGGCTGCAGGAATCCTTTGAAGCCAGCCTCCTTGTTCCACTTGGCTTCTGTGTCCAGCTCAGCTTCAGGCTTGAAGTCTGGGTACAGCTCTGACTCCAGTAAAGACGGCACTGGTTCCATCTCCAGGTCTGGGTCTGGGTCTGGGGCCAGGTCCACTTTGGGTTGGGGCTTCTGTTCTAGCGCGTCTGCCTCTAGCTGAAATGTTTCACCTCAAAGCTGAGGAGGCGGGAGCTGGAGGTCCTGCCCCTGAGGCCCTCCCTGGCCCCGAGTTCCTGCCCCTCCCCTGCCCTGGTCTCCCCTCATCACCTTTGCGCCTACCTCCTTTCAGGGACCTGCCTGGTGAAGGTGTGTGTGTGTGTGTGTGTGTGTGTATGTGTGTGTGTGTACTCTCACCGGCCTGGTACTAGGGTCCCAGAATTGTCAAGGGTAGGGGCTGGTGGGGACTTAAGGAAGAGCCCTGCCCCTTGCCTACCACCTCCCCATAGGAGGACACCCCCATTTTTACCTCCTGTTCTTCTTGTATCTGGTGTTGACTTAAGTCATCTCTAGGACAGAAGGAGACAGAGTGGGTGATGGGGATCCGTGGGGTGGGTGGCGGCTTCAGCGGCAAGGGGGTCTCTGGGCCCTCAAAGCCCTCTGCCTTGTAACAGAGGCTGGCACGATGCCCCTGCCCCCGACCACCCTGCCACCAGCTCATCCATTCCCCTGGTGTCCCACTGTGCTGCCACCAGGAAGTCTGGAGTTGTTTTCCGAAACTTTAGTGAGTTTAAGAAGCTCCTTGCCAACTCATGCCCCGCCCCTAAAGAGGAATCCAGTTGGTTGGAGGTAAGGCCCAGGAAGCTTCATTTGTATCAAGTATTGCAGGCAGGCTAGGGCAACTCATTTTGAGGACTAGCGCCAGAACACTAGTCCCCAGCAGGGGAGCCCCAGAGCGATGTCCTCCCACCCACCTGCCACTCCTTCCTCAGTGCCTGCCTACCCTGCCTTGGGCAGCTCTGTCCTCAGCAAGCCAGGCATCTCTCAGGGGTTAGTCCCATCCCGTCCCTGGGTGTGCCCCACCACCCCTCAGCCTTCCTCTCATGCCAGGGGCTAAGGGCAGAAACAGAGGGGGAGGGTAGATACCCCACGCCTCCCCAGCCTTTTGGCCTGGATGCTGCCCCTGGGGAGGTTTTGGAAATGACAGAAGGGAGGGAGATCCTAGGCTGGGGTATTGGTGGTGTTGAGGGTAAGGCTGGAGGTCCTGGAGGGCTCGGGGGAGGCCCTGCGATGATGAGGGATGCTTCTCACCGCATCTCTGCAATCTCCACTGATCCTTTGCTGCAGCATGGAAATCCATGGGTACCTGGCAGGGGGAAGGAGGTGAGCGCAGGGAGCTGCAGGGTAAGGGACAGTCTGGGAGGGATTCCGGAGCCGCCACCTCCTCTCGCCCTCCCTTTCTCTCTTCCTGGCTGCCATTCCTTCACCGTCCTGCTCTGCCCTCCTTGCTCCTTCGCCTATCCTCCAGTCCTGCTTCCTCCACTCTCCACTCTTTGCCTTGCCTCCTCAGAGGCTCCCTGTTCCATCTCCATCCCCCAAAACCGTGACTGCTGGCAGTACCCCAACCATGACCGGGCGCTTCTGTAGCCTGGGCACTTTACCTGCTTCATCTCATTGATTCAACCCCAAAAATTGGGACAGGTCCATTTGCCCAAGGCCCCCTCGCTGATCGTAGCTGCAGTGATGACTTGAAGGCAGGTTTGATTCAAGAAACTCTTAACTCCCCAGGCCTCCCCACCCCCACTACTCCCAGGAGCCTGTAACTGCATGGAATCCCCATCATGTCCCATGAGAACCTTCCCCATCTCCCCATTCCTGCTCTTCTGCCGGCTTCTGCTCTCTCTGGGTCATCCATCCCTGACTCCAGGCCAAGGCCTGCACCCCAGGTATGTGATCTGAGAAGATGCTAGCACCTATCTGACGATTTAAGAACTCAGATCACCCTCTGCAGGGGAGACTGACTCCTTGGGAACATTCCCCAACCCCACACCCCTCCCTGGAGGCTTGTATCTTTGACAGCAGAAGCTGTTTCTTCACCCTGAGGGGGTGGGAAGCACCAGGCTGTCCTGTTCTCTGCTCCCTAGGGCCATGCGTAGGGGTTGATGGTGGGGCCATCATCATGACCCTGCCATCATGCAAGGTGGGTCCCCATCAACCTGGGGTGTGGCAGGAAGTGACAGCCCTGGCTCTGGCTGGGAAGAATTGCTTCCAGGATTATACTGGAAGGATAAGAATGTGCTGTGGTCTCTTCCTAGAGATGTAGAGGCTGGGGGGAGGGGTCCTTGCATGGCTGGTCTTGGGATAGGGACCATCTGCTTCAGCCTGGTCTTGGGGGATGTATCAGCAGAGTGGCGGGGCTTTGGGGCACCACGATGGATGGGCCCCCAGTGGCCAGCTCAGTGGTCTCTTCAGAAACCTGCACCTACCTTGTTAATCATCATGCTTCCCTGGCTTCCTCATTCGTCTCTTTTCTGCCTCTCCAACTCCCCCTGCCCCAGGTCCTGCTGTTTCCCAGGCTTCTGACCTCAGGGCCTTTGCTTGCTTTACAAAATTTCCCTGGCAGTTTAATCAACACTCACAGCCTCAACCCCTCCATAAACGGCAAATGGGTATGGACAGGAGAAGAAATTACTGTGGCGTGAGCCTCTAACAGCACTGGGGGCTGGGAGAAAAAGTCAGATGTTGACTCAACTTGGGACCTCTGTGCCTGACTTGGGAAGGTTTTATTAGGGATTGAAGTGACATTCTGCAGTATATGAAATAATTTCTTTTCTTTTTTTTTTTGAGACAGGATATCACTCTGTCATCCAGGCTGGAGTGCAGTGGCATGATCTCAGTTCAATGCAACCTCCGCCTCCCAGGTTCAAGTGATTCTCCTGCCTCAGCCTCCCAAGTAGCTGGGATTACAGGTGTGCGCCACCATGCCCAGCTCACTTTTTGTATTTTTAGTAGAGATGGGGTTTGACCATGTTGGGGCTGGTCTCGAACTCCTGACCTCAAATGATTTGCCTACCTTGGCCTCCTAAAGTGCTGGGGTTACGGGCATGAGCCACTGTGCCTGGTCGAAACAATTTAAATTTCCAGTGGTTTGTTGTTAGTACACAGAAATATAGCCATCTTGTATTCTGCAACCATACTAAAATCTTATTTGTTCTCATAGCTTTTTTTTTTTTTAGATTTTATCAGATTTTCTACATAGATAATAATGTGTGTAAGCCAAGACACTTTTACTTCTTCCTTCCCAGTCTGGTTCCTCTTATTTCCTTTTCTTGCTTAATTGCACTGGGGAAGATCTTCGTACCATGTTGAGTAGGAGTGTGTATGTACATCCTCAGTTCATTCTGAGGTTGGGGGAAAGTGTTTGCGTATCACTATTATCATGCTAGCTGTAAGATTTCTTCATAGATGCCCTTCATCAGCTTGGGCATCTTCATTAAGTTTCCTCTCCTAGTTTGCTTAGTTTTTTTCTTTTTTTTTTGACATGAAGTCTCGCCCTGTCACCCAGGCTGGAGTGCAATGGTGCGATCTTGGCTTATTGCAACCTCTGCCTCCCAGGTTCAAATGATTCTCCTGCCTCAGCTTCTGAGTAGCTGGGATTACAGGTGCCCACCACCACACCCAGCTAATTTTTTTGTTGTTGTTATATTTTTAGTAGATACGGAGTTTCACCATGTTGGCCAGGCTGGTCTCGAACTCCTGACCTCGCGACCCACCCATCTCAGCCTCCCAAAGTGCTAGGATTACAGGTGTGAGCCACCGCACCTGGCCTGCTTAGTTTTAATTACGAATGGATGCTGGATTTTTCCTAATGCCTTTTCTGCATTTATTGAGATGATCATATGATTTTTCTTTTATATGTGTTATACATAACATATGTTATAATACATTAACATATGAGTAATGCTATATTATTTGGGTGATAATTCTTTTATATTTTTATATTCTGCTTTTGGTAAAATACATTTTTTTTTTTGAGACACGGTCTCACTCTGGTGCCCAGGCTCGAATTCAGTGGTGTCACTACAGCAACCTCCACCTCCCTGTCTCAAGTGATCCTCCAGCCTCACCTCCGGAGTAGCTGGGACTACAGGTGCGCACCACCACACCCAGCTAATTTTTGTATTTTATTATATTATCCTCGCTGGTCTCGAACTCCTGGGCTCAATCTATCCACCTGCCTTGGCCTCTCAAAGTGCTAGATTACAGGTGTGAACCACTGTGCCCAGCTATAAATTGATTTTTTAAAAGTTAAATCAGCCTTGCATTACTGGAATAAATCTCATTTGGTCATGATGAGACTCAAAACATTTTATATGTTGTTGAATCTGATTGGCTTTTTTCAGAATTTTCACATGCATATTCATGGAGGATATTGGTGTATAATTTTCTTTTCTTGTAATGTGTTTGTTAGGTTTTGATAGGGAGGATGGTTTGAGCCTGGGAGGCGGAGGTTGCAGTGAGCCGAGATGGTGCCACTGCACTCCAGCCTGGCAACAGAACGAGGCTGTCTTAAAAAAAAAAAAAAAAAAAAAAAATGGGGTTTTGCTGTGTTGCCCAGGCTGGTCTCAAACTCTTGACCTCAAGTGATCTTCCCACCTTGGCCTCCCAAAGTGTTGGGATTACAGGCGTGAGCCACCGTGCCAGGTCTAATTTCTTACCTCAAGTTCACACCTTGTATGTCGACTCTTAAGTGTGGCCACCACGGTTCTGCCTGTCTGACCCCTGTCTTCCTTTCTAGTCTCTCATCTCTCTATCTCCTACTCTTCTTGCCCCATTCATCCTTCATCCTTTCACCCAGGTGAGAAACCTGGGTCATTCGTGACTCCTCCTCACTCAGCAGCGCCTACCCATCCTACCCCTGATGCCCTCCTCATCTCCCAGTACCAGAGCCAAAACAAACCTGTGACTTCCTACCCTTTGGCACTCGGTGCTGAGTGCTTTGCCATTCAGTCTTCACACCTACCCTATGCCCAGGTGGCCCCGACTCTCCTCTCATGGATGAGGAAATGCGAATGAGGTCACACAGCTATTAACAGCAACACACGACCCAAAGGCAGGTCTGGCTGGCTCCATGCACCTGGATGCTGCTCACTGCACTGTCTTAAATCTCTTTAGCCCTCCAGCAGGACCACTGCAACCATGTCCCCTTGAATCTGGAGTTTTCAATGGCCTCAGAGTGAGCCTGCTACATCACACTTGCCTCTAGTCACCCCCCCGACTCCATGTGGCCTCTTGGTCTGATCTCTACCTTCGTTTTTCATCTCTTGGCATCCAACTTCCTGTCCCTCACCCTAAGCTGAAGCTACCCCAGAGTACAGCAGCCCTTCTGCACCCAGTGCCTTTGCAAATGCTGTTTCTCATACCTGGAAAGCCTTCTTCTGACAAAGTCCTACTCAGGCCTGAAAGCCCAATTCAAATCATCAGTGTAATCCTCTCCATGATAAATCTGGCAGTCCAATCTAC